GGGGTAACGCCGAGGAAGAACCAAAAGCTTACCATAAGAGAAGATCCCCACTAATTGCCAGCTTTTCATGGATCCATTCAGGAGCAATTTCTTGCAATAACCGGAGTTGCTCTTCAACTTCTCCTGCAAAGAGAGAAGACAAAGGTTTCAAGTCAGAAGCAACTTCAAAATGTCAAAGCACTCCCAAGTTTTTAAATGATTATCGACCACCAGACTTACTCCTATCAGCAATCTCTAAATGGCTTGAAAGTACTTTGTGCATAATCTCCTCTTTAGTAATCACAGAACGTTTAATTGATTGAAACAGGAAGTAAATCATGTCGAAGAACTTCGGTAAGCTCGAAATCATTTTCTTGTGCCATTTCGCTTGGGATATAGCTGGATCTTGCTCCTCTAATGCATTTAGCTCCTTTTCTCTGATCTGCAGATCCATGAAATGTTTAGCCACTAAATTTTTGGAGTAGACCAAGAAATATAGATTTCCTAATTTCTCAGTTAAATGGATCTTTTTTTTCAAAATTTAATGATGTCATGCAAAATTAGTCAAAATAATATACTATCAGCAAGGAAATGGTGTCTTGGAAGAAAGTTCTTTCATGTCTTACCGATTGCAGAAGATTCTCAGGAAGAATGTCAAAGATTTCATCATCTGTTGACGATTCTCTACTATCGATGACTTCAGTTACTTTTGAACTCTTCACAGGAGTATCAAAGGTCAATGACCTAATACGAGGAGGGCGCCTAACTAGCTTTTGTGGTGATTCAGTTAACTCTCCATCCGGACTCATATAACATCTCTTGGTAGGTTGGAGCACAGGTGTAGAAGTCATCAATTTTGCTGGTGTAGATGAATGTTTTGCTGGAGTTTCTTCAGCACTTAATAAAGACGAACCATCTCCACCCTTCATGTTTTTTAATGGAGTTGTGGCTAAAGGAGATGGTGGTAAAGTACCGGAAGAAAGAACCCCTCGTGCCGAGAATTTTGCTCTGCTAGTTTGTGTCGAAAGCAATTTGGAAGGAGTTTTATCAGCAGATGTAGAGGTGTGGCTCTCAGCGGAATATTTGGCAATCTGGGGTTCTGAGACTGGACGAAGTGAAGAACGAGGAACTGTTTGAAGTTGCTCGGTATCTTCTGCTTTAGCAATAGATGCTCGATGAGAAAACGATTTCCTGAGAGATTGAGACAGGTGCGATGCAGCTGCTGCCTGCTTCTGCATTGAAGCAATCGGTGTCTCTCCCATTAACTGTGCGACTGCAGGTGGTGTTGATGAGTTTGTTAAGAGCTCTTGTTTTGACTCACCGAATGCTCCCGGTAATGATTCCTCAGGAATGTCATCTCCCTGAATTCAAAAATAGCATTTGTTAAGAACAATAGTTTTTTAGAGAAAGCAAAATATCTAAATATCACTTTTTCTTTTCACCTTATTTTCAGGGAGCAAAAGATATAAGGCAGATAAGGGATATCGCAACACTAGTTTTGTTAATAACACAGAGGATTATTGGTACGTTTCGAATCAACATTGTCTCACAGAGCTAGCTTAACATTTAAAACAATGCTGATGGTTTCAACACAACATAGATTTTTAAATCTATAAATACTAAATACACGAAACACGTCACTTGGGCCTACAGGATAATAAAGAATGTACTCTCAACATATCATTGCAAAGAAATTTCTCGATTGTCAAAACTTGCACAAGTTAAAAATCTCTATCTTACCTCAGGATGGGATTTAAAGAAATCCAAAAGCCGAGCGCGGAAGACTTTCTCCAGTTGTACAGTGTCACTAGTGGATTTCAGCTTTTCATCAACTTTAACTGCATTAGCATTTAATGTAATATGAAGATCAGGCTTCATACAGTATGTGCGTTCGTCATGCACAAGGATCTTCTTGATCTCAATAGCCTCAGGTAAAAGAAACTTCAGCTGTGCTAAGTGATTGTAAGTAAACCTCCTGCACATTTAACACATAGCCACAGAATTAGGGAATTAGCAATAATTGATAGAGGAAATCATCAACAAAAATGTATTCAAAATATTCATTTGCTTACCTATCTGTTAGACACTCCACTTTGGTACTAATATTTGTAAATGTCGTTGAAGAACCCTTCAATCGCAGCAACCGAATCGAACTATTCAAGCTTCTGAAGAATTCTTCCAACAACTCATACCTACACAAACACACTAATGTTAAAATCACAAAACAGAAAACATTCGGAAATCCCAGCTCTGAAAATCTGAAAACAAGGTCAGATGGAACTTTAGGCCAGTAATCTAAGCGCCCCATTAAACTTGCAACTACGCCTCAATTCAAACTAGTTGGGTTCAACTCGAACAATATATAGTTAGAAAATTTTCAATATCTGTAAATGTGCTTTTGTATGTATACTGGAAAACCAAAAATACATCCTGGAAATTTATCCACCGTCTTCAATTCGAACTATATATCAACCTAAAAATTTCAGCTTCTGAATTTCGATTAATCGAATGTGCAGCCCCAGGTATTATTTCGCACCGTTCCGTAATATAAGCCACTTCAAACCCGGCTTATTGCCATTGATTCGGTGATTGGGTACAGACTAGACCAGTAAAACAGCAGTGGCCACAGATATGATCTTCTACATCTCAATTTATTAAACAAGTTGGAGTCCACTCAAATATATATTTCTGGAATTTTTTAATATATTTGTATATATACATACAAAGGCCGGCGCATTCTAGCTTTCACCAGATTCAACAGAACCCTATGTATATTTTAGTAAACTTTACAAAAATTCAATAAATATATCATTCTGATTATTGGATGTAATCATCATCAATATATACTAAGTTAAAATTCTAGATCCGTCTCTATCCAATAACACATAATATAATGTACATAATGCAACACCCAAAAATAAAATAAAAATAATAAAAAACTTACTTTTCTGGTAGCTTTACTGGGTCTACAGCCTTCTTTGCTTTAACTGCCGGGGACTTCCCCGAGCTCAATGAGGCATCAGCCTGTGTAATCGGGTGGGTCGGGTCGCGTTTCCGGAGCTTCTGGGCGGCCTCTCGGACTTCTTTTAAAGAAAGCGCGGCACTCCGATTCCGAGTCCGGCGAGGAGGAATGATGGGCTTCTCAGGGGTTTTCGAGCTCCATGGATCAAGAGATGGAGCCCCGGAGACAACCGAGTCGGATCCGATTTGAAGTTTCTTCTTTGACTTGAATGTACCCAAGATCGAAGAAGCTTCACTAGACTCCATTGAAGAGAAAACTGAAAAAAATTAAAATTAAAAGCAATTTGCTTAAGCAAATGAAGAAAGTTGAAGAGGCCGAAGATGACGGCGTGGGGTATACTATATATATAGTAGGAATGTTTTTGGCGGGATTGCTGACGTGGCTACAATGCCAGGTAGGAATTGGCGCCAATTCCCGGGAAAGCTGAGGTGGAGGATGATGTGTCTACCTTACCAGGTCAGATTTAGCGCCAAATTTCGTTAACGGGAAAAGGCCCGCGGGCCGTATTTAGTGAACCTTAGATTGTTGTAATTTGGATAATATGGACCGTTGCAATTCTTTTTCTTTATTTATCTTTTTTAATAAAATAATTTTTTTTGTTTGAAGCTAGAGTTATTGTTTATTAAGCAATTAAATATTTTGTAATTGGAAATAAGTGAAAGAACGGTCTTTGAATTATAAAGTTTTTTTTTATGTATGAAGTAGAGTTATAGATTATTTTTAAAAAATAAATCAAAGACCGTTCTTTTCATTCATTTGTAAATACAATTGATTGAGCACGACGGAATAAAGGTCGGAGCTCGAGGGCAAAAGGGGGTAAATACTTGTATGGTGAGCAAGGATAGTTTTTTTTTTTTTAAATCCCTCCTAATTAGGAGGATCTATAGTGTTTCCACACTTCCCCTCTAGCGTGACTCGAACTCAAAACCTAACGGTTGTGGGTGGAGTTGCTTTACCAACTGAGCAAGGATTGTATAACGATGTTTTATACATGTAGCTGAATCAAAATAATAATCCTATCAAAATCTAACTACGTTTATAATTGGTATAGACTAAAATAAGAAAGAATGAAAAAATGTGGCTTCCGACTTATAAATCGAAATTGCTAAATGTGAATTATAGATCGCATTTCTACATGCGAATTATAAATCTCTCATTCCCCAATAAGATTTATAAATCGCATTTCTCATCCAATGTAAAAGAGTCAACTTTTGTCATCCAATGTGAGTGATTAACTGTGAAGGTCAAAGTTGTTGCTTTACGTCTTATTCTGTAGTGATTCCCGAACGGGAAAAGCCATGAAAATGAACTAAGAAAGCAAGGAAAAGAAAACAGAGAAAACAAGAAGATAAAATTTGATTTTTCATTCAACATAGCTGGAAATGGACGAGTACAAAGGAATATAAAGAAAGCAGAAATAACTTCCTAACAAACTAGACACGTGGATGCTAATTACGCTTCTACCTTGAGGGATTCAACAGCAAATAACTAAGGACTCAATTTGACAATAAGTAAACTAATGATCTAAGAATTGTAATTAATTATACCTCAAAGACTAAACCTCTAAAGAAAAGTATTTATCTTCAAAATCACAATACGTCTTCACCGTTACATATTCATCTGATTGTTGCTAACATAAATCCCTTTTTCTTTGATGATTATCAATACACGCATTTAATGTTTCTATTAAGATTGGTATCATTTGGCCAATCTGAATTCTCAATTCCAATCAACATATAACTTATAAGTAACAAAATGATAAAGAAAGGTGATGTTTACTGAAAAATTGCCAGTTTTTTGGGGTATTTGAATGAATTAGAGCAGAATGGATACAATTATTCAGAGATAGTCATCCCAATTTAATCAGCAGGATACTTCAACACCAGAGATTACCACAAGACCACACAACAGGCTAAACCACTTATTTGGCTTATGGATTATGTCATTATTGTTACTCTTTGAGTTTTAATGATGACACTCTCGAAAGTAGAAATTACTCATATGATTCAAATTTGTGCATGAAAATAGGAAGGAAAGAAATCAAGGCAAGACAAGAGGAGCTGGCTCGTTTAGATTCAAGAAATCAAGACAAGAGGAAGAGCAAACTAAAGTATGAGATACGAGATTATATGACAAATCAACGGAGCTTCAATCAGAGATCATAGATATTCGATGGAGCTTTAATCAGACAACTCAGTAGATGGAAGATCGAGTGATCAACTCTCAATCAACTAACTATCCGAAAATCTCTCCTGAAGATATGGCAAACATAAGGAAGGAAAGCGAGTTTGACATATGAATCCAGTCCACATCCAATGACTGGATTCAGAGGCATCCCTTGGGTCAAATCTCTTAGAATATATCTTGCCTCAATTAATGGATATCTTTCGAATCTCGCTGGCAAATAATGAAGATATTGGTGATAACAATAACTCAAGACCTGCCTATATGAATAACTCATAATAGTAGAGACGACTATGCAACTTTAATATACAAGGTTCTACATTTTTCTAGTTCTTAGTTAAAATATTATATTATTGAGTTTACTTGTGTCATAAAAGCTAGAAAGAGATAGAATACAGTCAAGAGGTTTGTTAAGTACTTGTGGAACATTCGACTTTACATCGTTGGCGGTGAACAAAAGAAAAACCACGACTATTGTAACAAGTTATTTTTGAAGAACTAAGAGAACCCTTGTGACCCAAGGGAACTGGATGTAGGTACCATACTGGTACAAGAACCATAAAACTCTATGCCTCATTTATTTCTTTTTGCATAATTATTCGTCATTATTATCCTGCTCTAACTCAGTGTTTGCGGGAAAAAAAGTTGACTAATATTAAAATTAGTCAACTAAATTATTTTGGGCACAATTCGTTCCTCCCCTATTGTGCTTCAACTACTAAGATATCTAGGAAGAACAACTATCCTGTATCAAACCATGTGAGTTATGACCACCTGACACCTGTCTCCAACCTATAAGTCATACCTACAAGCTTTTTCAGTCCTCACCGAGCCAACATCATACCAACAAGCTGCAACTGATCAGAATTGGGTACAGGTAATAGAGCAAGAAATCAAAGCTCATGAAGATAACAATACCTAGGAAGTAGTGGATCTACCTTCAGATAAGAAGGGTGTTGGATAAAAATGGGTCTATAAGATCAAATACAAAGCCAATGGTGAAGTAGAAAGGCTAGGTTAGTAACAAAACGATACACTCAATAAGAGGGTTTGGATTACCATGATACATTCTCTCCTGTGGCGAAAATGATGACTGTCTATATGAATAATGCCTTATTGCAGGGTGACTTATTTGAAGAAGTATACATGTAGCTTACACAGGGATTCCACAGTCAGGGGGAGTCCAAAGTATGCAGACTGTTAAAGTTGGCATATGCAATGCTTGAAGTTGGCTTTGTTCATAGATTCTTTATTCACCAAGAAGAATGTAGCAAACATTGTAATAATTTTTTGTGTATGTGGATGACCTTCTAATATCAGGAAGTAACAGCAAACTGATAGAAGAAGCAAAAGACAGACTGCACAGAAACTTTAAAACGAAGGATCTAGGAGAACTTAGAAACTTTGCAATGTATAATAACAGGACAGTTCCTGTTGTGTAGAAGTGGTTTAGTTTCCCTTTTAGTTTGTATAATGTAACTCAATATCATATATATGGACTCAGAAATTAAAAAAGCTTATATGGTTAGTGTTTATCTCCATGGAAATTTATCAGTTTATGCATTTGAAAAGAAAAATGAAAATGCAAAGTTGATTTATAGACTAAGGGTAGCCCGATGCACAAAGTGATAGAATTTAAGGGTCCACCAAACTATATAGAGAACCAGGTTCTATATTAGTTCCCACAAAACACACGCACACTGCAGTAGGTAAATGACACAAAGAAATTTTATGTGGAAAACTCCCAACTCACGGGATTAAAAATCACGACCTACCCTTGTAGGATTTCAACATCACTATTGAGCAAACTTTAGATTACAACCTATTGTAACCTAGGAATTAACCTCTTAATCCTTCACTAACTTGTAACAACTCTATTACAAGCCACTTTGTAATAACTCTATTACAGAGACTTACAACTCGACTAACTCTAGCCAAGACACAAACACAAGGGTTTATGATTTTACAAAGATTTCCTACACATTGCTTCTAACTAAGCTAAGTAGGAATTATAAGTAAAGTGCTTTAACAAAGGTGCAACACAACTAGGGACATGTAATGACTCAATATATGAAACTGGTCATTCGTTATGTTGTTCTTTGTTCTTGATGCTCTTGAGAATCACTCGCAAGATTGGCACAAACTTGAGAGAAAAAATGCTTCTTGGATTCTTGAATGTGCAAGTGTTTTGTTTTACCTTTTTTGATGTAAATAACTCATTTGTGACATCACTTGAATGATGTAAGCAAGTTAGGTGAAGGGCATTCCCCATAAAGTTGACTGATGCACTGTTTTTGCACCGTTGCATGTGCAGGTAGCAACTTTACAGTTGTGGGGAGTTGACTTGTACAGTCACCACGGGAACTGGTGGCCATGTGTTCCTCTATTGTTCCTTTGACTCTAAAGAGTTGAACCACGTCCCCGAACTGAGACTTGTTGTTCTTTAAGTACTTGAGGATGTGTAATAGGTTCCTTATCTGGTTCTTATCAACAAGTTTGTTAGATCATCAAAATATAACAGGGATACATATAATGCATTGTCAAGTTTAAACACGTGCTCGGGATGCTCATGGCACTCGAAACCAGGCAGTTGCTTGACGAAAACTTCTTCTTTCAGAAAGCCATTCAGAAATGCACTTTTGACATCCATTTGAAACAATTTGAATTCCATATGAGATGCAAAGGCAATAAGGATTCTGATGGCCTCCATTCGAGCAATTAGAGTAAAAGTTTCATCATAGTCAATTCCTTCTTCTTGATTGTACCCTTGAAATACTAACCTTGCCTTTTTTCTTGTGGTGTTTCCAAACTCATCAAGTTTATTTCTAAATACCCGCCTGGTTCCTATGACAATTCTGTCAGCAGGTCGAGGAACCAGGTGCCATACACTATTTCTCTCAAATTGATGAAGCTCATCTTGCATAGTCGTAATCCAGTCAGCATATTTCAATGCTTCTTTGATATTTTTTAGGCTTGAAGGAGGATCTGACTTACTTTACTTTTACACATGCGTCGCACACCTTGTGATCCTTGAAGCTTGAGTTGGGCAGGCTGCAAACCAGGTCCTTCTTAACCAACTTGTTTAGCAACATAAAGCTTGCATGACCCAATCTTCGGTGCCATAGTTCAGCATCATCATCTACAGCACTCAGACAACTGAGATCTCCATTTTGTAGAGATTCAAAGTTAGCAACATAGATATTTTTGTATCTTTTGGCCACCAAGACCACCTCACCAGTCACAAGGTTTGTGACCGTGCATATTTTTGACACAAATTCTACCTTGTTTCCCTTGTCATAAATTTGGGAGACACTTAACAAGTTGTACTTCTACCCATTCACGTAGTCCACATTTTTAATTGAGCGAGAAAGAGATTTTCCAATTCTTCCAACTCCTAAAGTGTATCCCTTTTTGCCATTTTCAAAGGATACACTTCCTCCTTGCAGAGCTTTGAGTGAAAGGAAATCATTTGTGCTTCCAGTCATGTGCTTCGGGTAGCCACTATCCATGTACCATCTTTGGCTGCTTCCTTTCACTGCTCCTGCACCAGAGAATCAAGGATTAGACTTAGGAACCCAAACAAGTTTGGGTCCCTTGTAATGAGGAAACGGGTAAATCAAGGTTCTTTTTGTCCAAGCAGGCAATACACGTTTGTTATATGAGGGAGCAGTTTTTTTTTGCAATAGTTACTTTTTCAGCAAAAACTTTATTTTTCTGTTGGGACTGGAATCTGACTTTACATGTTTCCTTGAAATGTCTAGTGTTACCACAGTGAGTGCAGAACCAGTTATCAGGAACAGTAATGTACTTGTTGTGTGGGTTGTAAGGGGTTGTTTTTTTTTGGAATCCGATTCCCTGCATGTTCCCCCACTGTTCGTATATATAGCAGTGATTGCATCAGAGGACTGGGTCCACTTAAGAGATTTTTCTAGGTCACTCTTCACTCTGCCTAGATCTTCCTGAAGTTTTCTGTTTTTCTCAAGCTCAGCACACAGACTAAATTTTACTGATTTTAGCTCATTTTCAAGCCTAAGGTGTGCCTCACTCGCAACTTCCTTTCTCTTTTGAGTGTTCATAAGCCTACTTTCCCTTCTTAGTTTCTCAATTGTTTTCTTTAGGTCTACAACTACTACTAATAGGTCATCTCTCTCATGCTCTATGTTTGCAATTCTCTCAGTCAAAATATCATTTTCCCCTTTTAAACTCTTAATGGTCTTTCTTAGATCAACCGCAACCACCACTAGATCATCTCTCTCATGTTCTATTTCTCCTAGTTCCGTGGTTAATACATTTTTATCATTAATGAGACTGTGATAAGCATCAATTAAAATATTAGCCAAAGATATAAGCTTCTTTTGAGAATAGGATTTCAGATTTCTTTGAACATCCAGAAAGTTTACCTCATCTTCATTGTCATCTTCCTCATCCTCATCTGATTTAGCCATTAGAGAAAATATGGAATCATATTCAGCTGCTTCACTTTCTACTGCCATCATGGAGCTGTCACCTTGATCATCATCATCTCCAGATTCGTTGGAGGAGTCTCCCTATGCAGCAAGATCATGTTTCACAATATTGTCAGCGACATCTTTTCTCTTGAACTTTTTGTCAGGAACCTGGTTCCTTTTGACTGCTTTGTCTGTGTTGTGTTTGTACTGATCTTGCTTAAGCAGGGGCAATCCTTTATGAAATGTCCTGGTTTCCCATACTTATGACATAGGTCATAGCCTCTTGGCTTGTTAGAGCTGCCTCTTTTTGGAATACCTCCATTTCTGTGAACCATTTTCTGAAATCTCTTTGTCAGGTAAGCCATGTCGGCATCCTCACCACTTGTGTCATTTTTGTATGTCTTGAGGACCAAGTTCTTCTTCCTTTTGGGCTCTCTTCTCTCATTGTCCTTCTTCTTCTTCTTCTTCTTCTTCTTCTTCTTCTTCTTCTTCTTCTTCTTCTTCTTCATTTCATACGTTTTCAGATTACCAATGAGTTCATCAATGGTCAGCTTCTGTAAATCTTTTGCCTCTATGATGGCGTTTACCTTGCTTTCCCAGGAACCAGGTAATACACTAAGTATTTTCCTGACAAGTTTGTTCTTGGGAATGATTTCTCCCAGTGAGTGAAGCTCATTGATGATAGAGGTGAAGCGAGTGTACATGTCCTGAATGGACTCGTCGTCCTTGATTCTGAAGAGCTCATACTCAGTTGTCAACATGTCGATCTTCGACTGCTTGACTTGAGTTGTCCCTTCGTGTGCTATGTGAAGAGCTTCCTAGATCTCCTTAGCACTCTGACAAGCTGAGATGCGGTTGTATTCATCTGGTCCGATGCCACAGACAAGAATCTTTTTTGCCCTGAAATTCTTCTCAATAGCCTTTCTGGCAGCATCGTTGTACTCTTTTCTCGTTTTTGGGATTGTAGTTGTTCCCTCATCAACTGTTTTCATGGGAACAAAAGGCCCGTCACAGATTACATCAAACAACTCTGAGTCCTCAGCCATGATGAATCATGCATTCTTGTTTTCCACCAACCATAATATTGGCCATTGAATCTAGGTGGTCTGTACGTTGATTATCCTTCCTCGAAGTTTGGTGGAGCAACCATGAGGATCCTTTCTAGGTGTTAACCAGATAAAAAGAACCTGCTCTGATACCAATTGATAGAATTTAAGGGTCTATCAAACTCTATAGAGAACTAGGTTCTTTATTAGTTCCCACAGAATACACGCACACTACAGTAGGTAAATGACACAAAGAAGTTTTACGTGGAAAACTCCCAGCTCACAGGATTAAAAATTACGACCTACCCTTATAGGATTTCAACTTCACTACTGAGCAAACTTTAGATTACAACCTATTGTAACCTAGTAATTAACCTCTTAATCCCTCACTAACTTGTAACAACTATATTACAAGCCACTTTGTAATAACTCTATTACAAAGACTTACAACTCGACTAACTCTAGCCAAGACACAAATACAAGGGTTTATGATTTTACAAAGATTTCCTATACAATGCTTCTAACTAAGCTAAGTAGAAATTACAAGTAAAATAATTTAACAAAGGTGCAACACAACTAGGGATATGTAATGACTCAATATATGAAACTGGTCCTTCGTTATGTTGTTCTTTGTTCTTGATGCCCTTGAGAATCACTTGCAAGATTGGCACAAACTTGAGAGAGAAAATGCTTCTTGGATTCTTGAATGTGCAAGTGTTTTGTTTTACCTTTGCTTGATGTAAATAACTCACTTGAATGATGTAAGCAAGTTAGGTAAAGGGCATTCCCCATAAAGTTGACTGCTGCACTGTTTTTGTACTATTGCGTGTGCAGACAACAACTTTACAGCTGTGGGGAGTTGACTTGTACAGTCACCACGAGAACTGGTGACCATCTGTTCCCTCTGTTGTTCCTTTGACTCTGAAGTGTTGAACCACGCCCCCGAACTGAGACTCGTTGTTCTTTAAGTACTTGAGGATGTGTAATAGGTTTCTTATCTGGTTCTTATCAATAAGTTTGTTAGATCATCAAAACATAACTGAGATACATATAACCTATCACAAAGCATCTTGCGTTCACGTAGGGTCCGGGGAAGGGGCATATCCCAAGGCGTGTAATGTAAACAGCCTACCCTAATGTAAGTATTAGTGATTGCTTTCACGGTTCGAACTCTTTACCGTTGCTCCAAGTCTCTTGTATCATCCAAGATTATACCGGAGAAAAATAAAGACCTTCAAACTAACTATAGTTTATTTATAATGCTTGAATCTTAAAGAAAAGTAAAACCTATGGAGTTTTTGTTACGGAGTGCTTTATCCCCCAATGTGAAAATTTCAAGCGCGAATTCGGATTAGTAGGATCCTAATGAGGTACTGAATCCTAATAAGGTACTGGACACCGGGTTAAAAATCAAAAAAGAAGAAAACTAAGAAAGATGCACAATCAAGATTTCAAAGTACTTGAACAACATTCTTTTCATTCAGAAATTTATTCTTCATTTGCCCTCTTTCTCAATTACAGAAACATGCCGCAATTACATATTATTGCATCTGCGAACATAATTCCTCAAGTCCTCTTCTTATTATCAAGTAATACTAGTAGTATTAGTCTCATCAACCAGACCAATTACTCTCTCATAGGAACGCGGCGATCTTCTATTAGAACTGAAAATGAGCGTTTCGTCCCTGTTAAACTTAAGCCTCCGCGCTTCATCCCTCGATATCTGATAAGCATTGGCAATGACATCCAAGGGAAGCCCCCGAATGGCCGAGGTACGGCCACTCAGGGTGTTGATCATGGCATTGTCATTAGTGTTGAATGCTATCCATTCACATCCTTCATTTCCTGCTTGTTTTACAACTGCATAGTTCTGTGGCACTACTAAACATTGTCCTTCGCGAACTTGATCATCTAGCACTGCTCGTCCTCTGTGATCTACTATCTGAATTCTTGATTCCCCTCTCGTTATGTAGATTATGCTGTGTGCATTCTTGTACCAATGTGGTGCCATCATCGAATTCTGCTCATTTTTAAGCCGGAAATTTAGTAACTTTAGAGAACATAATTGAGATTACAGAAAATAGCGAAAGCTTGAGGCGTGCAGTGACACGTTTCTAAAAGAGTTTAAGTTCTACGCACTGATGCTATTGCATGAAAATTTCAGAAGACAACACATTTACTATTTGCACTTGTATACAAAGTTCATAATCCAACACATTTACTAGTTGTACTAGTTAAATTGGTCTCTTTATTTATTCTAAAGTTACCAATATTCATTCAGATGCCATGTGATAGTTAGCAGATTTTTTGTTGTCACTTCAATATAACTATAGAACTTAGACTACTACTAATAGTTTATTTTTTATTGGATTTAATTGTATTCACGATGAAAAGATTTTTTACACTATCAGTGTAGTTTAACATGCAATAGTTACCGTATTTATTAAAATGTGACTAATCAATGCTTATCGTAGAATATACCTATAATTACCTCACTAGTGATGTGATTGTGTAAATATATAAAAAAAGGTCAGTACATAGAACTTAAGTGGAAATGACTTACTCTGTAGAGAACTCCCCTAGCGGCACTGAGTCTGAGGAAGCTAAGAATGGGCAGAGTGAAACTATTGACAGTGCTTAAACGTCCTGCACGCGGGTTGTATATATCAGCACGAGAGGGATTGTCAATGTTTTCTCTAACCTTAGCAGTACAAATTGTCTCTTCAATTCCATTAGTCATAGGACCACGACCATATTGTCCTTGTTCTTGTTGTTCTTCTTGTTCTTGTGAAAAAGGTGGCCTAATTACTCTAAGCCTTTCTTGAACACTAACAATGTGACCTCTCATGTCATCTTGTCCTTGTAGCCTCCTCGCCATCTCCCTAGAAACAACAGATGCAGATTCAGAATCTAAACATAATCGATGAATTTAACATTTAAGGTTCTAAGCACTGACCTGCCAACACCAAATGCTTCTGATAGAATTTCTATGTCAAAGCCATTGAAAACATTGCCTGATCGAAATTGCTCCCTTCGCATAGTGCTGCCACCATACTGGCTCCCTTGTTGTTGTTGTCCTTGTTGCGGGTTTCCAGCAATAAAGAACCTCTGCATATAGTGAACATTCAAATATATTATGTAAAGACAATTTCAAGAAGTAATCGACCACTTCAATTTTGATTGTATATTGGGTAACAATACGATTAAATAAATACATAATTTTAGATGTGATTAGACAACTAAAAATCAGACAATGACAATGATAGAGCGGTCTGTGATTGAGTGATAAATTGATCGTGCTAAGAATAATTCTCTTAACGTACCCGAGAAGTTTGATCCAATTGATTGGCATTGTTAGAGGCATCTTCAAGAACAACAAGAACAACTTCTTCATTTCCTTCATTATATAGCCAATGTGCAGCACCTGCAGGAAATGCCATAATATCACCCTGCCTAAATTGTTCAATCTTTTGATGGCGATCTTGAAATCTTCTGCCTCTAATTCTCTGTTGAGTTTGTTGAGATGATTGGAATGTCTCGGGGCAACCCGAGTTCATGATCCCATAAAATCCTCGGCCTGTTTACATACAATAAGATCATCACTAACCAGAAGAATGTTACTGTTTCGTTTTATCTAGTTCACTTATACTAGATCTTAGCTTATAACATGATTCATCTGTATTTAATACAGGTCATGTTCTTCAAATCACATTGTTTAAGTTAACAAAGGTTTACTATATCATTACTCTCAGAATTAGCATAAATAGAATCAATTATATAATCATGAATATTGATTAGGAGATACTTATAAGCACCATAATTTATACCTTTTTGTGTCTTTATATCTAGATACTAAAGATACTAATAATACTCCCTCCATTTCTTTAGTTTCAAAAAAGAGTGGAGGGGTCAAAATATGAGGTCAACACTTTTATTTTCCTTTTTAATTCAGACATCAATTTTTTAAGAAACAATTTACTAATAAAAAAATAGATAAAATCACACTAGTATAAATATAACTTCTTATAATTAAAATATATAAAAGGGTTGTGGTCAAAGGAAAAAAACTGTTTGAACCTAAATTAAAGTAATAATATTGTCATATAAAAATGAAACAGAACAAATATTATATATAGGTTAGTATAGAGTTTGATGGATATATAAGAATTTTTAAAATCCCATTTAATAACATATATCAATATATATTTGAAAAATAATAAATAAAATAAATTAGACGAACAACTTCATGTGACCTATGTTGATGCACCTGTGTCGGTCCACCGTTAGATCCTCTACTATTTTTGGAGGATCTGACATGCAAAGTCTGAACAACATAGCACGTGACACAAGAGGAGACATAGACCTATTTGCTATTGACATAATTACCAAATATTTCAAAATCAATTGAAGTTTTAATTAATTAGCTCCTTGAACAACATAGGCAAGCAGTGGAGAATTAGTATAAGAAGGCAAGAGAAGGCCTCTGGACTGAATAACATGGCGAAATAGTGAAACTCCAGCACATTGAAATTGCTAATTATTTGTGTCAAAAAACTCAGTAACTCCAGCTTCTGCTTGCATTCTAAAAGATGGCTCTTGTGGATTGAGCCTGTTAATTTGACACTGGCCTTGTTGCTGTTGGTACCTATTGGAAATTTAAATAAAATACGAACAATTAAAGACGGGTCCAAGATTTGAAGTTTATTGGTTTTTATAGCAATCTCAATTTAATATACAATAATAATTGAGGCCACTGTCAAATATTTATAGCTCAGGGCAGCCCAGTGCGCAAGGCATCACGCATTCACGCAGGGTCCGGGGAGGGCCGCACCCTAAGGGGTGTGATGTAGACTGTCTACCCTAATGCAAGCATTAGTGACTGCTTCTACGGTTCCTATAGGTCACACGAAAACAACTTTATCGTTGCTCCAACGCTCCCCTTCATGTCAAACATTTATTGATATTTAATAAATTTCTTAAAATATACATTGCGTCTGAGCAAAAACTACTAAATTCATGTAAACCCGTATTTACATGCTAGCTCCGCCTCCGTGAACACAATACAAATAAAGGCTAAGAGATCAGTAGAGAAAAAGCTGAAAACTGGCTTGATTTTATCATAAAATTCAGAAAAATTCCTCAACTACTAGCACTACTTGAGCATGTACTCTGCTGATTTGCAAAAATAGTCATTTTTATGGCCATAGTTAGCAACCTTTTCAAAATTAGATCAATGGCTTGAAGTTGGAATGTGGCCACCTGGTCTGAAGTTTAAAATTCAAAACTAACATTCAAATCACAGTTTGAGCAGGAATTCTGCTGATTTGCACAAATAGCCACTTTTATGTCCTTGTACTTACAAAACTAGACCGGTGGTCGGAAGTTTGAATGTGACCACCTTGAAGTTTAAAATTCTAAACTGATATTCAGATTACTTGTCTAATTTGTTTTTTTAAAAAAAGTGGACAACTTTTAAATACAAGACTACAAAAGTGACCACCTAATGTAAATAACATCCTTATAATTTTGACTAGAGAACTGTGAAAAATAGGAACTATTTTAACAAGAAAAAAGAACAGGTATTATTCAACAGTACCTTTGCTGAGCAAAGTTACCATGCAAAAGCAAAAGGAAACTCAAGAAAAAAGAAAACCATGTAGTGGCCATGATTATAAAATGTTAGCAGATAAAAGCAGAAAAATAAGAAGAAGAAGAAGAAAGAAGTATTATTGAACTGATGGGAAGTGAAGATCAAGTAGGAAATGAAGGTTATTTATAGTACAGAGGATTAGTTTTAAAGATTGACACATTGCAAAAAATATGTAAAACAAAGTTTTGTGCCATTTTGCACTTTGCATGGCTAGCCAAACCATTCTGCTTTACACATAATAAGTTTAAATTTTTTCATGCATGTTTTCTTTCAGTCTTCATTGTATAAGTGGCTTCATTTGTCTGGAGAATAGTACATGGTTATGCAGGGGAAGGTTTTGTTTCTATCTGATGTTTTTATTTAGGAGTTCCTGTATTGGAAGTCCATTATATTATCATTTCAACAACTGAAGTAATTCCAAAAAGAAATAATAAAAAATAAAAAAAACAAGAAACCCATCACTAAAATAAATTAGTTTAGCTTCTGTGACTAGGGCAATCCGATGCACAAAATATCTTGTGTTCACGCAGGATCCAAGGCCGCACTCCAAGAAGGTGTGATGTAAGCAACCTATCCTAATGCAAGCATTAGTGGCTGATTCCTCGGCTCGAACCTGTAATCTATAAGTCATACAGAGACAACTTGACCATTGCTCCAAAGCTTCTCTTCAACTTCTGTGATTAATATTGTACTAAATTTTTACAGTATCAAATTGAGATACGTGTATTACATTAATTAATAATGCGTATAGTCTTAATTTTATAACTTTAAAGATGTTGTAGATAATTCTAAAAAGAGTCTAAGCTCTATGTACAAATGATATAAAAAATATTTACACAATCATTATTCTAAGAATAATACTCCATGCGGTCCACAATAAGTGATCAAATGAAATCAAAATATTTAAGCGGATTTTTTAAATATTGAAACCAAATAAAACCAATTAAATCTTTTTTTTGTCCGTTTGTGTTAGGATCGGGAACCCGGATAGTGCGAAATTTAGCCAAACAACGGTATAATGACAATAACAAAGACAATGGAAGTTGATAACAACGACAATTAAAGTAGATAAAGAAGACACAAATTTAACGTGGTTCGATCAAAGTGACATACGTCCACAAGCGGAGAGAAGCAATTTAGTATAACAATAAGAGTACAAAAGAGTGTACAAAATTAGAGTAAATACTCTAATTAATCCCAAATACCCTAAGGGAATAACCTCACAAGATCACTCCAAAGAAAGGGTTCACACAAGTATTTCCCAACACTAACTCTCATACAAAACACTCTTAATAAAGGAAGAAAGGAAGAACACAAGAAATGAAGACTCAAGTCTTGTTGGTGTGTCTACAAATGAGAAGAAACTCCTCTATTTATAGCAAGAAATCCTTAGCCTAATAATGAATATTATGTCATGGCAAATGTCATGATCCACAAATTTGTTATAATGCATATTATGTCATGGCAAATATCATGAAGCATAAATTTATTATAATGGATATTATGTCATGACAAATGTCATGAAAATTTGGCCATTACAGTTTGGATTATGTCGACTTTTGTCCGTTTGGATTATGTCGACTTTTGTCCATTATTTTTTGTATCGGCTTTGTATCTTGTGTTAAGAGTACATTTCTCATCATTCAACTTATGATTTTCTTTTTCCTGCAGAGGCATTACTAAATTATTTTTGGTCATTTTAAAATGATCGAACTAATTATGGCTTGTTAGTCAGAAAATAAACTTGATCGAAAAATCCATTAAATCTGGCCGGAGAGCTAAGTAAGCATGTCAAAGCATTTCAAAATATTTTGAAAATATTGTTTTTTTTGTGGAATAGGATCAGTTTTTGAGAAAAAGTTTGAATTTTTCTTCAAGTTAATTCTAAAAACGGATTTAGGACAATTTTTGGATGAAAACACAACTTCAACTTCCAAAAATATTTTTTAACACAACTTCAAAGCTCTTTTTTCAAGTTTCAACCAAATTTATGTCCAAAAGTTGGCGTACTCATTTGTTAAGACACATTCTTATAAACTTCAAGTTTATTAATACTTGTCAAATAACTCGATCTAGAGGCCCAAATATTATATAAATAGAGTTTAAGTTATATGTGTGGATAGAGTAAAAAAATTTTACACTATCAATATAGTTTAATATGTGATATAGTTTAATATGTGATAGTAGATTAGTTACGTTACTATTTGCATCATTTATTGATTAATTCTTATATCAAGGGATGACTCACGCATGCTCAAGTTTAATTTTTTTTTTTGCGCTGACAGTATCATTCGCACAATGGGTCATCACGCTTGGTTAAAAAGCTAGTAGTGCGAAGGTACATGCGCTGGATTATGACTGAACGCATCTAAAAAGAATGACATACTTTTGTCCAAACGTTGTCATACTTTTGTTTTTAGTCTGTCCTCAAAAGAATGACATACATCGTTATTTAGAAGGAATTTGAATTTAAACTTCCCCGTTTATTCTTATTGAGATAATTTACGGCGACATAAATTTTTATAAATTGGGATAGAAGGAGTAACTTTTTGTCCATTAGCTTATTACTTGAAATCGTGGGAAAGAGGAAGAGCTGGCCAGTTGGGTGAGGTTGGGGGATTCTAACAGTAACGGAGCCAGGAATTTTACAAATAATAGTCAAAATTTAATACATATTTATAAAATTAAAAAAACTATTTACCTATATATAGTATAATTTTTTATATACTCAATTTAATATTTCAATCAAGGGTGTTTAATTGAATGTGGCTATGTGGCTATACCAATGGATTTTAAGGGGACGAAGAAGAAAGGTGGGGAGGGAGAGATGGGTGGAGGTGGAGGTGTGGGTGGGGGTGTAGAAATTAGGCATTTTCTTTTTGGGTTAAATCAATTAGCTAAATACTTTTATAAGTAATTTATATTTTTTTAAAACGCAATCTTTTTTTTAATAATTATTTTTCATACAAATGCCGCATGACTTAGTTTAATACGTCACTTTGTCATATCATTCGTTAGTGTATTTTTGGCACATTTGCTTAGGTTGGAGTATTTAATAAGAAGAAGACCGGTTGAATTTGAAGTGTTAGAGTAAAATCGAACAAGTTTAAGATGTGTAGCACATTTGGCCAATTAGTCAAAAATAATTACATTCTCAAGTCAAATATAATATATATATATATATATATATATAGTGTAAAATGTTTATTCTATCCATAACTTAATTCTTGAATCAGTTATTATTTTGTCGGTTATCGATTAACTCTTATGAGCTATCAAGGAATGGCGCATACATTTTTAAGTTTAACTTTTATGTACCGATGATGAAAAATATTTACTCAATCACGTCTTTTGTTAGGAATTAAAAAAAAAAAATCTTTTGATAAATATTAATTGTTGCATAAAAATAATAATTAACTTGGCATCACAAATTAAAATTCATTGATAGTGATAATAATAATAATATATAAGTTAAATTTAAATACAATATTAAAATGAGTGTATATAAGCTAAAGTAAGTAATAAACACTATCCACTCTCTTTCTCTCCTACACGTGGACGTTTCCTCCCTTTCTGAGAGCCTCAAGAATTCTCTTTGAACAAACCTGTTTGGTTCAGTAGTAGGCTGTTCAAATTAAGCCACGTGTATACTAATAACTACTCATAAATCTTTCTTATTTGGAAGTGTGATTTATTTAGCATTTGATAAATGGGGCAACAGCAATCCAAAGATGACTTACTGTATCAACAAGTCATTGAAGGAAACATTGAAGCTATCAAAGCTATTCACAACAATGGTGCAAGTCTTGAGGTATATAAATTCAATCATTTACCATAATTTACTTGGAATATTTAACTATTTATCGACGCCCTTTTTGGTATATTTGAAAAAGATTCAGTTTTTTGGAGATGCTATAAGTAATTCTTTCACTGGTTTCAAGTCTTGAGGTATACATACCCTTCTTGGTAAATATGAAAAAGATTCAATTTTTAGAAGATGCCATATTAAGTGGGCGATTGGACATAAGAATTGTGAAATTCTTGAAAAAGTGAAAAAAAATTTCAATTGAAAATGATATTTGAAAATTAGAGTTGTGTTTGGACTTGGGACATGAATACACTTTGGAGCTGTTTTTGAATTTTTACGAGTGATTTGAAGTGAAAATTATGAAAAGCAGCTTTTTGAATTTTTTAAATTTTCGAAAAATTCCGAAAATCAACTTCAAAGTGAAATTTGAAACATTCATAGCAAAACACTTATTTTGAAAAAATGTGAAAAAATTTCGGAAAAAAGCGAATTTTTTTTATGGTTAAACGGGCCCTAAGTTTTGTCACTGGTAAAAGTCTTAAGGTATTACAAAGAGTGAATATCCTAAAAAACCCTAAGACCTAAACTATCACGTTTTTGTCAGTTGCCTACTTAAACTATCCGGTGTCCCCCAAACCCTCCTTAACTATATACACCTATATATTAAAAAACCCTTGTCGATTTTTTAGTGGTGAGTGTGATACAGACTTCTATTTACTCAGCCTAATCTGATATATCAATTTAATTAATAATAAAAACAATTAAATGGGTAAATGTTTGGGGGGTTAAAAAATCAAAGAAAGAGGGTGAAGGGATAAACACATGATCATTTGTAAGGAAAAAAAAACTCTTCTATCTCCTCCGATAATGGCTACACCATGTCTCCATCGTGATCTTCACCATTATACTTCGACTAAACATTGGATTTTTTTCATTAACCTTCCTTTTCACCGGGAATTAGTTTAATACAAGATTTGGGATAAAAAATTAGGGTTTGGTTGAAAGAAAAAGACCTAAATAAAGAACAACAACAACGACCCAGTAAAATCTCACTAGTGGGGTCTGGGGAGGGTAGTGTGTACGCAGACCTTACCCCTACCCTGAAGGAGTAGAAAGACTGTTTCCGAAAGATCCTCGGCTCAAGAAGACCTAAATGAAGAAGAAAGATAATTTTAGAAGAAACAAGAAAAGAAAAAAATTTCAGATGAAACCCATAAGAATAAAAAAAGAGAAAAAAATGAAGAAGGCTAGAATACAAAGAAAATAGAGGGAAAATACAAAAATTAAATTTTTTAAAGAGGGTGACAGTAATTGACCATTAGAAATAGTCAATTGGGGCCATTTTTATGTATAATTTCATCTCCCACGCGCCTTTTGGCGAGTTACCTTACATATTTCATTAAAACGTCGACGAGTTTTTTTATTTTATATATAGGGGATAAAGTTAAGGGGGTTTTAGGGACACCGGATAGTTTAAATATGTAACTGACAAAAACATGATAGTTTAGGGAGGTTTTAGGGTATTCACTCTATTACAAATGTAGCCAATTTACTTGAATAATTTAACTTTTTATCAACACCTATTTTGGCGAACATAAAGAGATGGCTTTTGGAGGTTATATGCGAGGATTTTCATTAAGAGATATCAAAATTTAAAGAAGTAAATACATGAATAAGTCAAGGACACTCAATACATAGTATATATACATAAGAAAGTGATTTTTACCTAATACAGTGTAATTATCCGGCGAATGGGTGTCAATTGACACCCCTTGGAGCTATGTGGCTCCGCCACTGGTTATATGAGTAATTTGTATGTACTAATTGTAGTTTTGTGGCCCCATTGAATCAGTGGATCGACAAAGAAGGAAAGACGCCATTGATTGTAGCGTGCATGAAGCCGAATGGCTTGAATGTTGCAAAAGCTTTACTTGAGCTTGGTGCTAATATCAATGCTTACCGGCCAGGTATGCTTTTCTCTACTAATCCTAATCGTATAATTTTTAGAGTCTTCACCAGAGACGGTCCCGGGATTTTAAGTAAGAAGGTTTGAAGTACCACAGCCAGGAGCAGATTTAGTGGGGCGGAGGGGTTTACCCGAATCCTCTTCGCCGAAAATTTACACTGTACATATATTGCAAAATTCATTTTGTGCCCAAAAGAATAACTTAGTGGTCAAGGGGGTTCAAAACCTTTGTGAGGTTGCTAGTTCAATTCTCAGTGGTCACAACAACAACAACAACATCAACAACATACCTAGTATTATCCCACACCGTGGGGTCTGGGGAGGGTAATGTGTACGCAAACTTTACCCCTACCTTGTGAGGATAGAGAGATTGTTTTCAATAGACCCTCGTCTTAGGAAAGTATAAACACCACATTAATGAAAATATAGACAAGAAGGGACAGTACCAAAAATCCATATAAAAACAGAATAATAACAACAAGACGGTAATGCGATCAACAATGGAAGAAAACAACGGTTAGTCATAAAAAATCTACTACCAACAGAAAGCAAGATTGCGTGCCAATACTACCGTTACGAACACTCTAGACTACCTACTCTACTACCCTAATCCTCGACCTCCATACCTTCCTATCAAGGGTCATGTCCTCGGTCAGCTGAAGTTGCATCATGTCTTGGCTAATCACCTCTCCCCACCTCTTCTTTGGCCTACTTCTACCTCTCTGTAGGCCCTCCAATGTCAGTGGTCACAGTCCCTTTTAATTTTTTAATCCCTTAACGGAAATCTTGCCTCCGCCACTGACCACGGCCATCACTACTTCGTGGTAATAGGTGTGCACTAGCCACTAAGTATAAATGTATAGTTTGAAAAAATTTCAAATAGATATATATAGTTCAAGGCCCTGCTCTCACTGCTAAAGCTCTACATTTGCACCGCCAATCATTTCTTACAAGCTCAACATATTTTCTTATTTAGAGAATTTAGTTAATATAGGATTAAGAAGCTGCCTTGCGCTAAGCTTGAGACTTACAATTTCGCGCTAATGGAATCTCGCCATATTTGTCAATTATCTGATGAAATCAATTAATATAGGATTAGAGAATATAGTTAATATAGGATTAAGAAGCTATCTTGCGCTAAGCTTGAGAGTTACAACTTAGCGTTAATGGAATCTCACCATATTTGTCAATTATCCGGTGAAGTCAATTAGTTATGTGGCATGATAATTGTGATAATCAAATCCACATTCTAACTCCTAATTTTGTTTTCAGGATATCATGCTGGAACTGCATTACATCATGCAGCTAAGAGAGGTTTGGATGATACTGTTCGATTACTTCTTTCCTATGGAGGTACATATTTATGGTTTTGCAAAGTGAATATCCTTTCTCCTTTTGCTCGGTAGATGTTTCCCAAACTGCTTCTGGATGATTCAGTATCATTTCTACTAGTTTTTGGTGAAGTGTGTGACTATCTCATCTAAAAGCTTAAACTGTTAGAGAGAACACACTTTTATTTACTTAATTATGTCTTCAACATGCCCCCTCACCTTCGGGCTTGATTCTTTTTTATGAGACAAGCATGTGGAAATTCTTTTTGACATTAGGTGATGGTGACATTCGAACGTAGAACGTAGGACCTCATCCTGCTTTGATACCATGTTGAAGTCTGTGATCATCTCATCTAAACTTAAGCGGTTAGAGATAACACATTTTTATTTACTTAATTATATCTGCAACAGTTTTCAACTACTCTAATGTATTGATCTAATTTACAATTAAATTTTTGCACTAGCAAATCCCTTGATCAAGAATGATGGTTGCCAAACTCCACTCGAAGTTGCTCGGGCAAAGGGTTTTAGCAATGTTGTCCGTACTATTGAGGTATAATACTTGGTATTAGTCTCACGCTTTAATTACATTAACATTGAATTCACATGATTATTTTATTTTTCCTGTCCTCTTCTTAACTTTGACTGTGTGATGTACTTTACAAAGAAGAGAGAAAAACAAAAGCATCTAAAGTTTTTCACAAAACTAGCGAAAGCTTTCTTCAAACTCACGTTAGAAGAATGTAAGATGAAAAGAAACCTCACCCACACGTTCTTTAATCCCACAAGATTGCAAAAAGGGTTAATAAAGGAAGACCAGTGAAATAAAAGTAAATCACGTTTTTGAAGCAAGAGCTTAGGAAAACTAATCACCAATGTTTATTTTCAGCATATTGAGCCCTTTAAATAGCCCTTACAATGAGTAAAATTGATAAGGTTAAGGAAAACTAATCCTATTAAACTAGAATAAGAATAAGGCTAAGAAAATCAGTCCTAACTAAAATAGGAAAAAGAATTCTAGTAAGAATGGGATACCAACTAACAATCCTTGACTAGAACTACAAATATAATGGTACTAAGACAAGAATTAAATTACTAGGAAATAAGAAATAACAAATCCTAATCTTTAAGGAAAAGAAATCCTAATCTTGAATGGATTCTTGGCTTCTTGAATTTCTTGGATTCTTGGCCTTCTTGATCTTGCATCACTGTGTGTTTGCAAATTCATTGATTCTGGTTTTGCTTTCACTTTTAGAGACAAATCTGCATTTTCTCGGGCTGGATGAGGGAGTTCTATGGTCCAGGGTTTCTTGAAGCTTTAGCTCCTCAATTGTTATCTAGAAAGATGTCAGTATGATTCTCACTTATTTTTTCTATAATTGCCCCTTGTTTTTGCTTTGAATCCATTATAATGCTGTAAGTTTCAAAACTTTTCATGCTTGCTGACCAATGATTAGAACTGCAGTTGGGTTGTAGTAATACCTTGCGGTATAGCTGATCCTACGAAGCCTATTAAATTGGAGCTGGCGATTTACTCATCCTTAGAGGTAAATAACTCATTATTGGCCAACATTAGTTCTTTACAAATTCCATTGGCAATATTGCTAGGTACCTCGCGTTGAGTTTGTAGTTGTACCATTTTTCTGAAAATTGTCAAGAACTCACCATAATATATATATCAGGCTAGGATATGAGGTTATCGCTGTGAATGATTTAACGAGCTATACGCAATACTAGAGGAGTAGACATAGCTCTTGTTATGAAAAACTCGGACCTAAATGTAGGTACATTGTGTCTTTGTACAGTTTGAGCAGAATCTATATATGAGCCAGCATGCCATTTTTACATAACCAAGAATGTAAAACCTGTGTTTCTATCATCTTGTCACTTTATCATGCTGTTGTTACTACTTGTTGTATCTACTTCTCTTTTATTTTCCCTTGAGCCGGGAGTCTATCGGAAACAACCTCTCTACTTTCACAAGGTAGGGGTAAGGTCTGCCTACACTCTACCCTTCCCAGAACCACTTTGTGGGATTACACTGAGTTTGTTGTTGTTGTTTGTTGTATTTCTTTTCCGGGAAAAAATAATGAACTTGGGACTTCCATCCTAAGCTAAATCATAACTAAATAGAACTTCAAGTGAATTCAGAATGATTTTACTGAGTTCTAAACCGTGCAGTATTGGTCTTCGGAGATTTTTTGGTTATTTAAAAAAAAATCTCTACTATCTTTTTTCAATGAGGTAATAGTTTCATTGACTTGTTGGGACAGACTCCTAGTGTATAAGTGGAAAACCAAGAGTGGAGAATTTAACAGAAGTGCGATTCTCCATAAACGGAAGTGTGATTCTCTACAAATAGCACCCAATCTTCAGTACTACATGGAATGTCATAGGTGCACAAATATTTACAGAATTCGAGGACCCCCTCATTTCTACAGAAGAGCCATTTACCCCTTAAAAAGCCCTCCTATTTTCTTTTCTCCAGATTGTTCTCATATGATCCTCAGTTGTGTGGATAAGCCTCTCGCAGTTAGCCAAATAAAGCAATAAGCATTCCTGATGCGCTAGGCGTTATACTGAGTAGAAAGTAACGGTATTCTCCTTCCTCAGTATATTATGTGGCCGAGTTACATTAACTGAAAAGAAGTCCATTTCCCCGTTCATACCACTTCAAAAGTGCTCTGATTCGTCGGTGAAATCTTCTGCTTATACAATAGTGCATTCAGGTTTTGAAATTTTCCGACTCCCCAATCCTGTAAATTTCTCCTAAACCTCAAGTGCCAAAGTTCTCCTTCCTATATACACTGTTCTCTCCATGCTCAAATATGCTTGATTAGTACTTCAATGAAGCAACTATTACTACTATTACTACTACTATGCTCCATCCTGAACTAGCTAGAGCCGGCTGACAATTCAATGAAGTGTTCGTGATTTTCTTCTCTTCTATTAAATTGGCGGATTTCCTGAAATTGTGTTTTGATGAACAGGATGCCCAGCCTCGTAATGTTATCGCCTTATGGAAGGCTAACGTTGAAGAGATAAGGTGGCAACAACCAGATCCTGTGCTGACTATATTTGACAAGTCCAGTAGTAATACTCTTTTTCTGAAATTCTGTTCTATAGTTGATCTTGTTAAATGGAGAATTAAGAAAAAGCCTTTTCCTCTTATCCACACATTTATCAATGAGCCGTCAATTGACATGCCTCAAGAGAAATTCCTCTACAAGGCTAAGCTTTTGGGACATTCTTTTTATTGGTTTGAGGTACTTATGTGCTTACTGCTTCGAGAAAATGACAAAAATGCTCCCTTATGTTTGAGGATAGGTTTAAAGTAGTCCCTTAAGTATGCACTGAGCAGTTTTGGTCCTTTAAATTTGTCAAAAGTTAACATTTTTGGTCTCCGCAAATATTTAATGAACTCTGTAGTTTTATTTAAGGGACTGGAATTAATATGTAGATATCATGCAGGAATAGATGAAGCTGCATATTATTAGTAAAATTTAAAGGTTTCAGAATTCTGTTGCAAAACGCAAATTCTCATTTGCTCTTTCTACTAAATGTTAAAATATAAAAGTTGACTTAGTTTTATGTTATTTCATCTACAGAACTCCTTTTTGGATAAGCTTTTATAGTAGTTCTTTCATTTTGCTTTTTTCACATCAGATACTCGATATAAGTTTACATCAATGAGCGATTCTGAGCAGCAGCAGCTTCAATTGTTACTCAAAGCATGTAATGCTGCAACTGAGGTAATTACCACCTCCAAACTGAAATCATACTTTTTACCAATCTGTATCTGTTGCTTGTATCCCTGACTCAAAAAATAATTGAGTAAAACTATCCAGCATTTGTTCATCAGATGAGTTTGTACGATGCATATATATTACCTAACCTAATGCAAGAATTAGTAGTTGCTTCCAGGGCTCGAACCCGTGACCTATAGATCACACGGGTATAAAATACGGGTATAAGATGACTACGGGTATAGAATACCAACTATGAACTGACAAAAGTGTCTTGCGTTTTTTGTGTCCCAAGTCAGCTGTAACTCAAAAGCCGGAATATTGTGGGTTAGTTAGATAAATGGTATTCTTGAATCATAGATTTGATGCTTTTTGAAACTGAATGAAACAGTGGCCAGCTAAATATCTAACATGGTATTGTGCATAACATCCTATGTTGCACGGACTCTTCAAAATACTGTCGCACGCTTGTCGGATTCTCCAAAAATACACTGCTTTTGGAGAATCCGACACGCACCCGGAGACATTTTTGAAGAGTCCGAGCAACATAGGTAACATCAGCTGAATTTTCTTTAAACATAGTATTCATCTCTTGTAAGGTTCCTTTTCCTGAGGTGCTATGCATGTTCTTCTATTTATTTTAGGGAAACCCAAATTTATCCCTCCACTATACGAAATATCTTGGTTTTACCATCCGGTTATACCTTGCTGTTAGTAAATCGTCTTGTGTTTGCTTGAAACTTTAATGGAGCTCCAACATGGACTTGGTGGATTCCACGTGTCAAAACACTGCGAGAAAGATCCAAATTTACCACTGTAATTGTGACTATGGTTTAAAATACCCTCTGCTGTACTTCAGGTTGGAGCTCTTTTAGGGGGTCAAGGAAAAATACGAGACGATTTAGGCAAGGGTATGAATGACCGGCTGACCGCAAAGTGTAACGGAGGGTAAAATTACGATATTTCGTATAGTAAAGAGGTACTTTCGATCCTTCTCCATTTATTTTATGATACACTAAGAGGATAGAGCAGAACCACCTCTGGGGCTTGACTGCATATTAGCATTTCAGGTTCTGCCTCCCCGTTTATCACAAAATAGCCAAACTACAGTGCAACAATCTGAAAATGCTGCAGAAGCAATGGAATTAGCAATTGGAATCAATGCTTCTATTCATACTGCTAAAGAAAATAATGTTCTCCCTCATCATGGACAAAGCTCTGGTGTAAAAAATGAAAATGATTGGTGTAATACCACAGATGATTCTGCTCACAACGGATGGGGTTCACTTGTTAGAGCCCAGCCTACATCTGAGATTACTTACCGTGGGTGGACGGATGACCAAATGAAGGTTCAAGAAAATGGATGGGGAAGTACTGCAGATGTATCCCGTCAAAGACGACAGCACTCGCTTCCTAGATCGACCTCTTTTGAACTAAGCTGCAGTGGATGGAACGATAAGCCTGCTGTAGAAGAGTACAATGGCTGGGCCGTGCCCCAACCTCGGCCGGGACATAGAGATACCTCCGCCGAAATTCATTATCAAGGATGGGGAAAAACTGCAAAGGACAGCGCACTGCCTTCAATAAGCAACACAACATCCTCAGGAGTCAGTAGCTGTGAAACGATGGACAAGACAAACAATGCACCTGAATATACGCCCATTAACAATCTTGTTGAAAATACTGAAACTCAAGAGGGCAATTCTACTTTTGATTTTGTGGCCCCTTCAGCTCCACCCGTTCCAGAAGAGGTTGTACATGAAGAGGTGGTTCATTATCCGGCTATAGATCTTAGCCCGTTGAACTTGTCGATTCCTCCTGGAGAGCAAGCAGCTTCTGTTACAACTGAAAGGGAAAATAAACATGAGCCTGCATTGTGTATAATATGCTGGGAAGCTTCTGTTGAAGGAGCTTGTGTACCTTGTGGTCACATGATTGGCTGCATGCAGTGTTTGAACCAGATTAATTCCAAGAAAGGCGAGTGCCCTGTTTGTCGAGTAAAGATTGACCAGGTTATAAAGCTCTACAGTGTTTGAGGTATAGATATTGTTTCCTGCCTATGAGCAAGGTTAGAACCCTGTGAATTTTAAGTGCCAGTTTGAATACCATACTTGCTATAAAAGTTTCATTTTTGGGTTGGGAAAACACATAAGTTACACTTGTCCCAAAAAGTTATTTACACACTCTTAACTATATCCGTGTTGAATTGTTATTATGTCAGTGTCGTATTAGTACTCCCAGTCTCAGTGTAAAGTATAAGAAACTTAAAATATGTATTAGGCCTAAGGAGTCGAAAGTGATTTCAACAATTTATTTCATATGAAATGGTTATGATTTTATTTAAGTTAGTATTCCATATTAGTTATTTAATGTGTATATCAGGGATTTCAATTGCACTGTACATGTTTTTGCCAAAGGCTTGTCCCACCTCTTGAAGGGAAAGTCGACGATACTTACTGAGTTATGTCGGTTGCCCGTTCCTTCTGGCTTCCTCTTCCTTACCTGTTTCAGGATGAGGTATAGCATGTCATGAGCAGACGAGCTAGTTCGACTTTTGCTCTCCTGTATATTATGGTGAGGCTCCATTTTATGTTCGTGATAGCATTGTATCTTACACATAGGACATGTTTGAAAGAAATATTGCTTATATTTTATTTTCATTATTTATATAGGGAACCTCCTAAACTTGTTCGGACGACTTCAGTAGCTTTTGTTTAGCTGTGGTATTTATAATAAAAAATGCATTAAATATGTTGCAAACTCGGTAACTAACACATGCTATGGGTACCAAGGGTGCCACCAATTTGTCAAAGATTAGTATCAGGGATGGAGGTACAATATTGCTTACGGGGTTCGGATGAATTTAATAGCTTTTGCTTAGACCATGTATTTATATTAAAAAATTATTAAATATATTAAAATATTTAATTGCAAATCATCGACCTCAAAGTCAGTTATGTCACAAAGATTTTCTTCTCTGATGCTTACTGTGCCAACTTGATATGGAAATGTTTCATATTAATGGCGAGTAGTGCGAGTTCAATCCAAAAAACATGGCTTTTTCTTACCAAGTGATTGCTCTAAAGACAATGCTGAATATACAATTATACATGAATCAAAGTGCCAAGATTCAGTTGAAAGAGTCATTTAGCAGAACTCAAGCTTAGTAGTCGTACAAATTTACAGCAGAGAACCAACTTACAACAACGTATTAACGCACCACTAATGCTCATTTCAGTTTGTGGTTGCTAATTCTCGTCATCACTAAGAATAATCACACTTCTCTTAGTAGACGAAGACTCCAGTGCAAGATGCTTCTTGAGAACTGTATTGGAAGAGGAGGTCATAATATTTTTACCAACAGTAGCATGCTGTGAAATTTTTGGGAATAAAACTTCAATCTTATCATTAACAATTCCTTTTGATTGTGGCCAATGACTCAATCCATCCCACGAACCAGATACCCGATTCAAATTATTTGTTCTAGCACTTGGACCAACTGAAGGAATAGACACCTCTTCTTTCCTATCCTGTTCAATATCCAATGACTGTCCGGACTCTGATTTCACCTTCATTCCATCCTTGCTGGAATCTTTAGAGATGTCGGACACAGGCAATCCAAGTTTTTCTTTTGCCCACTTATGAACTGCACTTACCTTCCCATCCAAAGCTTCAACCATGATGCTCAACTCATCTATTTTGTACCGTATAAGCAAATACTTCTCACTCCATGCACAAGAACATAGCTGCTTGGCATGAAGAAGACAAGTATATTTATATGGAGAACATTTACAGCCAATGGCGGAAAGGTATAGATCATAGTAGCATATAGGGCACTCCCGTTTGACTGTCGCACAAAAGTCATCCTCCATCTTTCGCGATTCAAGAGAAGCACACATATATTTGCGTCTTCTCACTTCAGTGGCAAACCGTGACTATACCAATATAGAAATAATCCAAAATTACTTCCAATAGAAATGAAACAATAATCATTTTCTACATGAATATATTTCTAGACAACATACTAGTCAGTAATGATTGCTCACACACTCGAAACAGAAGCTAAGTCTCAACCTCCGGAACAAGGAAATTGAGCTGCTCATGGAACATGCATACCAAAAAGGGAGAACTACAAAAGAGCCCAGTTAATTTCTCCTAGTAACATCTGAAGCATGACTTAATGTTGAACGTGCCTTTGAAATGCTCGACCCGAAGGTCAGAAGTCTGCAAGACATCTTTTACCTTGATAAAAATAAGTTCTAAGGACTAAAGAAGGGAAAACAGTCGCGGATGATACCAAAATCAGAAACATAATGTAACAAGGAAAGGAAGAAACGACAATGTCTTTATTCATAGAATAGGGATAATTACATTTTTGGGCCGCCCTAAAATATAATAGTCAGCAAATGTATATGTTTTGTATATTAAGTATAAATATACATATAAGTTACATAAAATTTAAATAAATATTACATAGCTAGTTTCAAGTACCTTGGGTCTATTATCCAAGGAAATGGGGATATTGATGAGGATGTTACTCATCAGATTGGAGCGGGGTGGATGAAATGGAGACTCGTATCCGGTGTTTATGTGATAAGAATGTGCCACCTAAACTTAAGGGTAAGTTTTACAGAGTGGTTGTCAGACCTATCATGTTGTACGGAGTAGAGTGTTGGCCAGTCAAGAACTCTCATGTCCAGAAGATGAAGGTACCGGAAATGAGGATGTTGAGATAGATGTACAGACATACCATGATTGATAAGATTAGAAATGAAGATATTCGGGACAAGGTAGGAGTAGCCTCGGTGGAGTGCAAGGTGCGAGAAGCGAGGCTTAGGTGGTTTGGACATGTGCAGAGGAGAAGCACAGATGCTCCAGTGAGGAGGTGCAGGAGGTTGGCCTTGGGTGGTCTGAAGAGGGGTAGAGGTAGGCCAAAGAAGTACTGGGGAGAGGTTATTAGGGAGGACTTGGCGTTGCTTCAACTCACTAAGGACATGACCCTTGATAGAAAGGTGTAGAGGTCGAGGATTATGCTAGAAGGTTAGTAGGTAGTCGAGTGTGCGTCTTCCCCATATCGATAGTAGTAGTTAGTCATCCTTGTATTTCGGTTATTGACAGCCTTGATTACTACATGTTTTCTTAATATATTGTTGTTGATAATGCTTGTTCTCTTACTATCCTGTTATGGTTAATGCTTGTTTTCTTATTATCTTGCTGTTGGTATTGCTTGTTGGTATTGCTTGTTGTTACTGCTTTCTTTTTCTTTCTTTGAGCTGGGGTCTATCGGATCAAGGTAGGGGTAAGGTCTGCGTACATACTACCCTCCCCAGACCTCGTGGGATTATACTGAGTTTGTTGTTGTTGTTGTATACATAATTTATAATTAGTGTATATATTTTGTATATTTGGGCTAGCGCCCGTAATTATTATTGGCGGAGGGGATAAAAATGAAAAAAGCCCTAATAAATAAGCAGAAAGCCTGTTAAAATTGAAGTTCAAGAATTTGGAAGGGCTCCTTATAGGCTTACATAAATAGTGAAGTCATGAATAATAGAGGGCTTACCTTAAGTGCTTTTGTCAAAATCCCAGTGCTCCGACAAACTGCTCTCCATTTTAAATAATCAAAAGATTTCTTGTGTAGCAGCGGAAGTTCCGCTAAAGACCTAATTCCTTCTGTGGCTGCTTCAAACAACAGCTTATCATAGGAGATTGATGTCTTTCTGCCCTGCTCAGAATACAGTTCTACAGCATTCTGGCCGTGTGGTAACCAGTCAAAGGGAGCAAAATTTACTGCTTCGGAACAATTAAAGCCGCTATCAACATGTGCATGGTATGCTCCAGGGAGAATGAGAACAAATTCCTTTGGATTTTGCACACAACGATAAACAGGTATTCCCTCTGAAGTCAATATAGAAGGAGAAAACTGAAAGGCCTGCATTTTGGATATGAAGATTGATTGATCAAATGGGAGGTAATAAACAAACCTTTCATATATGATAGTTCATCTCTTCTGAAACGAAAAAGAAATTTTAGACAGTCCTTATCAAACTTAAATCATATACTCCCCCGTCTCAATTTATATGGCACTTTTTCCTTTTTCCTTTCCGTCTCAATCCTGAAAAGGTTGTCACACCTTTCCTAATTTAGAAACAATTTATCTTTAGAATTCCTACTTTACCCTTAATGAATTGATTTATAGGCACGCAAATATTTATGGTTTGTTTCAAACCATAAGTATTAACAGTCTTCCTTTCTTTATTAAACTCCGTGCAGAGTCAAACGGCACAACATAAATTAAGACGGAGAGAATAAATGATTAATAACACCATAAAAAGATTCGGGGAATACAATGTCACTAAATAGAATGCTAAGAAGGATCGAGTCTTGTTAGAAACATACACATTAAGCACTAACCAAAATATGTCCTTAAGGTTGAAAATCTCAAAATATTATGCTCAACTTCTTCTGGATAACTTTCGACTAACCAAAGACTACTGCCCAGGGGCGGATTAAAGGGGCGGAAGGGTGTTCACTCGAACCCCCTTCGCCGAAATATTACAATGTATATGTAAGGAAAAATTTATTTTTTACCTCTATATATTATGTTTTGAATCCCCATGACACAGCCCAAAAGCATAGCTTAGTGGTCAAGGGGGTTCAAAATCTTTGTAAGGTCATTGGTTCTATTCCCACTAGGCCACTTTTTCCTTTTTTTTTAACCCCCTTGGCGGTAATCCTGCCTCCTCCACTGCTACTGTCCCACACATACTCATTCAAACCCACAAAAAATAAGAGAAATTAAAGCAGCCTAAGTCATCATGCTTGCAATATAAATTACCAAGAGGATTATTATTCCATTAATTGCACCAAATACTTCCCTTTTTTTTTGAAAAGGTAAAGAAATACTTCCGAATTTCTTTAATGGAGGTCTTCACTTTTATTTTTTTTTCTGGCTATAGAAATAGGAGAGGGCAGTTTATTGGTAAAATTGAAAAAGGAACCAAGTCAACATGCATCCCTTTCTTTCTAACAAGCCTTTCCTTCTCAAAATAATGAAAAATAATTTCATGGATTTGAAACTCACAGTGTTTTGAAGCAAACAAGGATGTGCTGACAACTGCGGCAGATGCTTCTTGACAGCTTCCTCAAACTTGCAACGATAACTCCCGGGAACCCCATAAAATATTTTTGGGGCACCAAATTGTATGTAAGATAGTAAATACAAGTGGTGCTCTTCAATTCTCTATTGCAATTTGCAAGATGGAAAAAAGCAGAAAATATTGGCAATTAATCAACATAATAAAATAGGTAATGCTAATTGCTAACAAATAGACCAATGCTCAT